GTCAAGTTTGAATTTAAATATATTTTGTATAACTATTCGGTTTACAAAAGCATAGGCGTGATTTTACAGAAATCTATGTAGCTAAAATTCCTATCCCTGGACTGATCTGAAGGATTCGAATTTAGGTTTACAAATTCTTGTTACTCACAGTTCGGTCTGTTATTTGTAAATTATTCGATGTGTTTGTAGATCTCTGGGTAAATCCGTAATTTCCTCACCAGCAATTACTGGCGCTAAAGGCTATTATGGATACTTTCACNAAGTTTGAATTTAAATATATTTTGTATAACTATTCGGTTTACAAAAGCATAGGCGTGATTTTACAGAAATCTATGTAGCTAAAATTCCTATCCCTGGACTGATCTGAAGGATTCGAATTTAGGTTTACAAATTCTTGTTACTCACAGTTCGGTCTGTTATTTGTAAATTATTCGATGTGTTTGTAGATCTCTGGGTAAATCCGTAATTTCCTCACCAGCAATTACTGGCGCTAAAGGCTATTATGGATACTTTCACGGAAAAACTTTCTTCTACTCGTTGATATTTTAATGAATTTTAGGCAGTTGATTTTGAAGATTTTAAGAGTTTGGTTGAGACTGTCCACAACGCGTCACAATAAACGAATTCCTTATTTGCAAGAAAAGTCACCACTCTCGGTTAAAGAAATTTTATTCCCGGATAATTTCAATTGTTCGTAACTTACTCTTAATTCAGTACTATCCCACGTAATCGAAGGAAGGATTGAAAAACCGGACCGATTAAATGAACTATTTCCACCAGAATTATTACTGCTCCGTCCCTGCTTCAAGACTGTTTAATTTTGGTTTTTCTGACATTTTTATATGAATTTTGGGGTCACTTGTCACATGGGCTCCAACGAGTCCATTTTCAATTGGTGGAAAATGTCGTATGACCTTTCCCACTCTTTTGATTTTTATGGGGAAGTAGTTCGTTCGGTTTTTGGGGTCTCAATTAATCAGTTTTCAATCGTTCTTTCGCGCGTGAATCTTAGCATTGAGTAATTGGGGCATGCTGAGTGTGCCATTTCATGACTCTTGAAGTCGATTCCAGTGCCTTTGGAATTTTTAATTGGATTAAAGTGATGAAATGTACTCAATTTAGTTTACAATTGTGGGTTTGGTTCTTAATTACATGAAGTTATAATATAACTTATAGTTATGATCTTACATAAAATTTATTCTAGTCTTAAATTTCTAGTGTAAAATTTTTGGACATTACAATATATGAGGACCAGGAGCTGGAGCCATATTCCAACACTAATTCACCTCGAAATTTTTGAAATGCACCATTTATTATTGAGTTATGTGAGTTTTCTTTTAAATTGAAATTCAATAACAAATGCGAAATAAATAAAAATTGATGGAACAAATTCAATTGTTTGACGTATATTGAATTTATTCTGCAGATCGAAACGGAACAAGAAAAGAGTCGAAATACAAAGTTGAAAATTGGAATTCATTACTTACTAATTAATTATGTACTCCATTTTCAAATATTGCAAAACAAAGTCAATTAAGCAGAATTCACGAAAAACACAACAGAAAATATTTTTCGAGATTAAAGTACATATTGTAGTACAAATAGGAAAAACAAATGATTAAAAAGACACCGAGTTATAATTCTGTAATAATATATTTGATCATTAAGTCGAAGAAAACTATCCTGGCGAATATGAGATTGCAGCCCCAGCCGAAGGCGAGGGTTACACCATCATATGAGCTAGAAAAATTTTTTAGGCCACGTGACGAACAATATGTTTCGTAATAACGGCTGTAAGCAGCTGCTACGGCCGTAAGTGCCTTACCGCCGGAATTACAAACATTGGACTGGGTTGTAGGTCGCTCGCTCCCATTGCATGTGGACAAGAGGAGGTGCGACCCATCAAGGGTGAAACCAATAACTTCCCAACCAATTCCCATTTTTATGTTCATCCAATATCCAATACAGAAAAATATCCGTAAGCATAACAAAGCTTCATTCTTTAGTTTCTGTCCTCAATTCCTTCTTCCTTATCCGTGAACCATACATATGGTGTACTCATTGTAAAACATATTAATTGAGCTTCCAAATTACATCTGATATGTCCAATTTTGTCAATGTTTCATCCACTTATGAGAGTTTTAGACGAAAACTGAATTTTCATGTTTCACTTGAAAAATTAGTTTGGTTGGATTATTCGATCTACTATATTTTACCACTATATTTTATTTGGAAGAGCATTTACTATTCTTTGAAATTGTGCAGAGTTATTCGATTCAATAAAATTTGCATCTAGTTATATCAGATAGTTTCCACTTTCTACGTTATTTCACCCGCCAAAAATGAGAGTTTTTGCCATTTATCGAGGCTGTAGATAGGACCTCTGGGGATAAGTCATATGTCAATTTGAAGGTCTCGTCGACATCTTCTAATTGAGACCCCATGTCATCAATTTCATCCCCGAGATTGATTGTTCTATGCGATAATGTAGCGATTTTAGAATTTCATGTTTTGAAAATTTTCATTGTTTTTCTCGTAATGACGAGATTTACTCGGTTTCTGTTCAAATCTGTAGAAATATTGTATGCTCAGCTGAGAATTTATGAAATTACCAAGAAATTTACCCAGAATTACAGTGGGACTCCTGTAATTTTAAGCCGGCTATTTTCGACGGGTGCAGTCACTACGTCCCAACTCTCGCGCTTTCAGTCCCCAATCCTTCCGTTTACGGAATGGTCCCATCATCTCCCGGGCGCATAACTCTATGCTCCCGAGTGATTCCCTAACCTCAATCATTGGGAAAAATTTACTTTGGGGTTATGTACTCACTGTTGCCCGACGGCTGGAGACAGTGAGAGCTCGGCCGACTATTTTCGACTTCTCGAAATTAGTTCCCCCGTTGAGTCGAAATTATAGGAGTCCTACCGTATTAGATTCAGGCGAATTTTGATCAACACATTGGAGTTTTTCTTTCAAGAATTGAATTTCATAATGTTTATTGTAAATTTAACTTCTATAATTATCGGTCAAATGAATGAAACTATGCATTTGCCAGTCCATAGGGTAGTTGATGTTATGAAGGAGAAACTTCATGGGAATGAAAAGTAAAAAATGACCTATATTGATCTCATCCAACCTACTTAGAAAAAAAAATCAAATTTTGAAATTTCCGTCCAAATGACGCAAAAAGGTCGAGATGATGTTGCTCAGTATGCAATCAAAATCGAATAATTTTAATCCAATTCAATAATTTTAGGGGTCATGAAATGTCAACAAATCATGGAAACTTTCGCTTTAGCTTTCCGGGTTAATCACGAAAACTTCCTCCTTCAGGGTTGGGAAGTTAATAACATATAAATGCATTGTTCGTACAAAAAAATCAAATACCATCGTTATTCGATGTAAGATAGCTGAATTTTTAAAGAAAACTCATTTTTTCAATCATTTTCACACGTTGTACCGGAATAACCGCTGAGACGATCATCTTCATAAACCAATCGGTTTCAAGTTACATTCACACGCATCGTTTGAAAAAAAAATTCAATTCGGATCATTAGTCTAGAAGAAATGGTGGAATATGTGGAAAAACATCATGTTTGATATTTTTTCTATGTTTTTGAAACATTTTTGTTGAAAAACTCGGCTAGGGCGCGTCGCACAGCAAAGTGAAACAGGAACTTTCTACTCCAAATTTCACCGTCTTTCCACCCTTAACCCTCTGAATGGAAAATCCTACCAAACCCTGTCGGTGTGAGCGGAGTGAGGGTATGGGCAAGCGTACTTTGGCTTGTATGTGGTAGTGAGGCATTTCGTTCAGAGGGTTAAAATTAGAGTGCGCAGTTATGGGACATCGTCTATAGATATCTATCATGTCATATCAATCTACATATATTAATTATAGTATATGATAACCCTCGGCCGGGAAACGTAAAAGTTATCGACGCAACAAAATTGTGACAATATGATTCCACATCAAGCGTGTATTGGAATGCGCTTGTCGACTTGGGTCTTCGTCATAATACAGTAGAGTTGCAAAGTATATCGCAAATTCTCCACAAGCAATAACATCAGTTTGTTGCTGAACTGTATGATGGATAAAAGATTTCCAGATACAATGTATTCAAAAAAGCAATTTGATCTTCTTGTTTTGTCTTATTTTTGTCGTCTTTGAAGAGATGTCCGTATGTGTGCATATGTGATCAAAATTTTGCGCTAATATTTCTCTCATAGAACACGATTGTCTCAGAAGCTTTGTTAATTATTCGCACGGAAGGTAAAATATTAAACAAGTGGGAAATTGCTTTTATATTAATATAAAGGCCATATATATATACTTTCGAATGGTCATTTCGTATATTCGCTCCTGCTTTAGTATATATTTAATAGTTTCATACCATTTTATTTTCATACGTTTTACGCGAATAACCCATGAACCGCTGAGACGATGATCTTCATAAACTAGTCAGTTTTGAGTTACATTAACACGCATCGATTGAAAAAAAAATTCAAATCGCATCATTACTTTAGAAGAAATAATTGGATATGCCGGGAAAACATCATATTTGATGTTTTTGACAAGTTTTCTGCGAATTACTGAAGAAACTTCGAGACGATCGTCTTCATAAACTAATAAGTTCAAAGTTATATGAAGACACATCAATTGAAAAAAAAGTTGATCAAATCGCTTTATTTGTTCAGTAGATATCGTTGGACAAAATTTTGACCACAGACATGCACACACACGCACACACACACACACACACACACACGCTCAAGCGTATCATTCACCAGAGGATAGAAGCTGCAGTGGAGCCCGTGCTTGCCAAAAATCAGTAGGTTTCCGGAAAAGCCGATCCACACTCGATGCCATCAACCTGGTCATCGAAACCGCGAGGGAAGCGATTACAGGGGAACGATGGCTCAATGTCACCAAGGAGTACTGTTTAGTAGTGACACTGGATATCAAGAATGCCTTCAATTCAGCCAGGTGGGACTGCATTATGGAGGCTCTTGACATATTGGAAGTACCAGGATACCTGCAGAGAATGGTCAACAGCTATTTCAGCGGAAGGGTCCTTAAGTACGACACAAAGTCTGGCCCCAGGAAGTCCAAGGTGACAGGAGGAGTACCCCAAGGGTCAGTACTGGGTCCTCTCTTGTGGAACATCATGTACGATGGGCTGCTAAAGTTGAACATGCCCTGGCGGACCAAGTTGGTGGCATTTGCGGATGACGTGGCGGTGGTCATTGTTAGGAAGCACCTGGAAGACATAGAGCGTGTTTTCAGCACAACGTTCGAGACGATCCGCTGCTGGATGGATTCTGTTGGACTGAACTTAGCGGAACAGAAGACAGAAGCCGTATTGATCACCAGCAGGAAGAAGATCGAGACGATCACGCTGCGAGTCGGGTCTTTTCGGGCAGTTTCTGAAGACGCGGTGTGTGTCATCGCAGGATTGTTATCCATTCAGGTTTTGGCTGATGAGCGAGAATCGCTGTGTAAGCGGAAACGAGCGCTCGCATCGAAAATGATAACCACCGAAGAACTGGCGTCTGAGGAGAGGCGAAACAGCTTGAACCGATGGCAGGAGAAGTGGACGAATTCGACCAAGGGAAGATGGACCTATCGTCTAATTCCACATGTAGCCGCGTGGGTAAGTCGAACTCATGGCGAAGTCAACTACTATCTGTGTCAAATGCTTTCAAGGCACGGGTGCTTCAGAGAGTATCTTCATAAATTCAAACATGAAGATTCTTCGGAGTGTCCCACCTGCACAGGAGTGAACGAGAACGCGGAGCATGTATTTTTTAACTGCCCCGAATTCAGTGACATGCGAAATACTTGGGAGTCGGAGCTCGGAAGGAGAGTTTCACCCGAGGATCTAGTGGAAGCAATGCTGTCATCACAGGCAGCCTAGGACGCAAGGAGCAACTTCGCGGCGGAAGTCATGAAGGACCTCAGGAACGAGGAACGCAAGCGCAAGGCTGCAGTATAGGTGAGAAATCTTTTTTGGAACCTCCTAATCACACAACATTTTTGCTGGTTAGGGGGACGTACATAAGATGAAGGCGGAAGAGCGAACAGCTGAGACCTCCCTCACGAAGTAATACCTAACGGTGGTGCCGTGAAAGGTTAGTGGAAATTTGTCTGATTGGACTTTAGTGGGTATTGGCAGTCACAGTCGGAGTCCCACACTCACTTGACGGAGGGAAACACCTATTCCCTGCCTCAGGTGGTCGTGCGTAAATGCATTCTCCCAACAGACGAAAAAAAAAAAAACACGCACACACACACACACACCATCCTATCCCGTCTCATGCTCAACGTGGGAGGCTCGAAGCAGAGAAGGAGAGCGCTACTGTCATCAGTGGTCACGTCAGTCCTCACATATGGCATTGTTATCTGGGCTGATGCACTACAGAGGCAGGAATCACGGCGGAAAGTGGCACCCGTCTACCGGCTAAGCGCCCTTAGAGTTACCAGCGCGTATCGCACAGTGTCTGAGGATGCGGTGGGTGTCATCGCCGGGATGTTGCCCATTGAAGTGTTAGCCGAAGAACGAAGATCCCTTTACCGGCAGAAAGGATCACTGAGCTCAGAAGATTTGAGAATGGTGGAGAGGCGTAACAGCATTCGTCAATGGCAGTTGCTGTGGGACGCCTCAACCAAAGGACGGTGGCCTCATCGCCTAATTCCACAAGTGGACGCTTGTGAGTAGATAGAAACTATGGAGAGGTCAACTACTACCTGACACAAATGCTTACAGGACATGGGTGCTTCTGGGAATATCTCCATAAATTCAAACATGACGATTCCCCGGAGTGCCCGACCTGCATAGGAGTGGATGAGGATGCGGAGCACGTGTTTTTCACATGTCCACGCTTCAGCGAGATCCGGAGTACCTGGGAGTCTACACTGGAAAGGCGGTTGTTGCCTGAGAATTGGATGGATCCTTTGCTGTCATCACAGGCGGCCTGGGACGCATCGAGTAGCTTCGTGGCCAGCGTCATGAAGGAGCTTAGAAAGGAGGAACACAAGCGCAGTGCTGCAGAATAGCTGAGGAATTCATTGGAACCTCCTACCCACACGGCAGCGCGTCCCCAGGTGGCGGATGGGGGAAGTCCTAGGTCAGTTTGCTGACTCAGCAGACTGGAATGAAATAAAATAGCTCCCGCGGACCAAAAGAAGCGTGCAGGGTGGTCTCCCTATAACGGCCTGTATAAAGAGTATCGGGTGGGCTCCCTGTAACAGCTTACATTTAATAATGATCTGTGATGACAAAATACAAATTTCCCACGCTGATATCACTGAAAAGGTAAGTTCCGCTATCCGTTCCGATTGAGTGAAAGCCTCGGTGGCTGATGCCGGCTCCATGGATTGTGGGAGGAGCCAATCATCACAATCTACTTCAAAGGTGGACTCCTTGGTCTCAGATGCTACAAGGAGGGATGAGTAGCAGACTCAACAGGAGACCGAATGTCGACATGCATAGGCACGACTTGAAAAACTCATCGCAGACCTTCATAGGTATGTCCAACCGAGGATAAATGTCCACAAGCAGATCAAATCCAAGGTGGCAACTATCGGTAGCGCATTCAAACGCCTCAAGAGTTTGGAGGAGGCATGCACAAAAGCCCGGTACTCCTTCACCAAACCCGTGGAAACTCTACCAGCACGACCTACGTTGCGTTTACGGACGGACTCCGAAACGACAGTGAAGGACTCGGAAGTAGAAGACCCAAATATCTTGCAATCGGCCCGAGATGTTCGCAAAGCAGTACGAAGAAAGAGTTTGAAAGGTCACCTGCGGCAGAAGCTCGAAAATCGAAGAAGCTGAAGCAACAGGATCTGACCAGCACGGCAAACCCGCAGCGGAAGCTGGCTGCTAATGGGTCGGATTGGAAGCTGCTGCTAAGAAAGGAAGAAAAAAACAAGATGAAAAGCAGCTTTGGAAGCCACCCTCCAAGAAGAAAGAGTCTAAGAAGCACGAGAGGAACCGTTGGAAATCAGCGCCAAGATATGATACCCTGATTGTCCGACCTAAGGACAGGGAGAAATACTCGGAGATCCTACGCCGAGTAAAGAAGGATGTTCCTTCCGAGCGAGCTCGACATTGTGTCGACAAGATCCGCCGGACACCGACCGGGGATATGTTGATCATTCTGAGCAACAGGACTACCAACGGAGCCCCCCAGCTGCGTACAGCCATCGCCAGTCTCCTTGGAGATGAAGCTCAGGTACTCAGTAAGGGGCCACAAGAGGAACTGGAGATAAAGGATCTTGATGAGACCACAACGAAGGAAGATGTCCTTGAAGCCCTACGAGCAGCAGTCGGAGAAGGGCACGAAATCAGTCGAGGTACCTTCAAATCCCTGCGGAAGGCATATGGAAGAACGCAGGCTAAGGTTGATAGAATTCATTTCTACACTTGTTACGCCCCACCGAGACTTTCTATTGATGAGTTCACTGACTTCCTGGATAGACTGAATGAGCATGCAAAGCAGCACTTTCTCGTCGTAATAGCCGAGGCTCCAATGCCTAGGCAGTCGACTAGAGAAGTAAGGAGATGAACACCAGAGGGCAAGCTGTACTGGAAGCCATGTCATCGCTGGACGTGGTTCTGCTGAGCAGCGGCGATGAACTGACGTTCGTGAGGGGGAAGGCGAGCTCAATTGTGGATCTTACCTTCGTGAGCAGCAACCTTGCAAAGGGGAACTACTCATGGATAGTAAGTGATATTTACAGTGCAAGCGATCACCGTGCGATTCTCTGGGAGATATCTACTGGCCAGTGAGTCGCCTTAGCGCCTAAGAAGATCAACAGCATTGGCTGGAGAGTGAGTGCTTTCGATCCTAGCTCTTATTCAGCAGCATTGGACAACTGCTCGATCAGTAGCAGCAGTGCTACTGCAAAGGTGCGAAACATCATGAAAAGAGTAACGGAAACATGCGGAAACGGAGTAACGGAAATCAATTGGTAAATCTAAAAGTGGGTCTAGCGATAGTTAGACCCACCAAAACAGCTTTCAAAAGTCGTTTAGACACATATGTAAGAGATCAAGACATTACCAAGCGGTCAAAAGTCATGCCCGAGACAATGACACAGTCATAGCCCGTGAATGTCCAAATCATAAAAGCCTTGGAGACAAATCTGAACCTGAGGCTTGATGGGATATCCAAAGATTTGAAGGATGTTCGTGATGACTCCAAAAAGGACTTTTTGAGCTTAATCAGCTCTATACTGGGCTTGATCATAAGATCATGGAAAATGAAAAAATCACGGAGAGTATAAGATCGAGGATAGGTTGGGATCGCTGGAGAGGGGTGTAATTGAATCATCCCTGTCTGATCCGGCTGGCAAACAAACTGTCGAACAAATGGTCGGAGCCTCTTTCACTGCAAATGAGACTGTGCGAGTGGCTAAGCTGGAAGAAATGGAGGCTTCATGGGCGAAGACCTTGAATGACACTTTAGATAAGTTGGATGCCAAGGAGCGAGAACTCAAGGAGCTTAATGTGATTATTCGGGAGCTCACGGAAGACCAGTGCAGTTTGAGTGATTCAATAAAACAATTTTTCCAAGAGAAGTTCATGCTAAATGAAGATATTACTAATGTTGTTATGACCGACAATCGCCAGTGGTCTACCATCACCTTCGCTGACTGAAAGACCAAGCAGCAGATCCTGTCAAAAAAGCCAGAGGTACTGAAGAACACTAACATTGATATTGACATTGATTTCACTTCCAGAGAAGCAACAATTATGAAGATCCTAAGAGTTATAGCAAGAAAGGAAAAACTTGAGGGTAATAAAGTTAAATTGAGACATCTTAAAATCAACATCAGTGGTAACTGGCTGGCCTGGGACGAAGTTAGGCAGAAGTTGATACCCACCACCATTGTGTTAAAAAAAACAATTGGCGACAAAACTCAAACTAAGTCCTCTCAGGGAAACGGGACAGGCGGAAAAATGCGCTAATACACTCTGGAACTTCTTTGGAAGTCACATTTTGGAATTCCAATGGACCTGGCCGTTTAGCAGATTTTGTATCGAGTTGCAAGAGTTCCATCATTTTTATAAGTGAAACTTGGGCTACAGAGACTCCATATCACTTGAACAAACTGTGGAGAAATGAATACAATCAAATTTGGGTACGAGCGACTAAAGTCCATGTTAAGGGCAGAGGCAGTAGATGTCTGGTTCTACTTTGGAGGAAAGATTCTTGTGAGCTGATGTCTTTGGATGAAACGGACTGTTGGGTCATTTCCCGGGTGTGGATTAATGACTTTAAGTTAATTCTCTGTGCAATTTATTCCAAACCTGATATTGAATTTTCATGTGTTTTAAAGAACTTACAAATAGTTCTAAATAAGTGGGGAGCAGTTTATGAGGATGATCTTTGGGTAATTGGGGGCGACTTTAATGGTTGGGTTGGGGAGTTGAACTCCATGCCATCTGAAGTATTTGACTCTGGTCCCATACACTGTGTACGTTCAGCCGTCTACACTAAAGTGAATATGAAGGGCAACCTTTTAGTTGAATTCATGGAACTCAATAACTTTTTGTTATTGAATGGTAGGACGCCTGATGATATTCTTGGAAGATTAGCTTTGTCAGGAACGGTGGTGTCAGTGCCGTAGATTTAATATGGGTGAACTACACTAAAAGCTATTTGATAAGAATGTGTCTATTACGAACCACATTTAGCTTTTAGATCATTTTCCGGTAGTATTGGATATTTTTATTGACTCAGAACAGGCGAGCACGAACGATCGTCAGTTAGCCTGTCAGAATTCCGACAAAAAACATATTATCAAATGGAAACCTGACATTACTTCGTCCTTCACCAATGCTATGAACTTTTCGAATAGAGTGACTGCAAATTTTAGTATTGACTCCCCGGATAAAATATGTGATAA